CGGCCCGAGGACTGAGAGGCCGCCCGACGACGCGGATGCGGAGCCTGCGCTCCCGAGATCAAAGCCACCGGTGCTCTCTTTGTGTCCGCTCGGGATTCGCCGCCCTCGGGCTGTCCATGGAAACCTAAACTGCTGGAACCTGAAGCGCAGAACCCGTCTTTGGCTTCTTGCTTTTTTTTTGGAGGGGAGGGTGGCCACTCCGACCTGGATTTACCGTTCTTGGCCACCCTCAGCCCCCCCGTGCGGGGGGCGGCTGTGATCGCTCTGGCGGTTGGAGGTCGGGGAGCGGCCCGGGCTCTGGCCATGTTCTCGGATGAGGATTCCTGGATCGCCCTGTGAAGAGGTGAGTGAAGTCCGTCCGGCCAAGGCCCAGAAAGGGCTGGACTCGGGGCACCGCCAGATGGACTGTCTTGGCCGGAGCTGGCCTTTAGGTTGGAGAAAGGGGTGCCAGGGCTGAGGAGGGCTCTGCTGGCAGGGTCTGTCAAGGGAACCTGAGCCAGTGGCGGGGGCAGAACTGAGGCCTGGTGTCTTGGGGTGTGCCTCGTTAAAGACTGGGGGTTCAGGGAACCACGGGAGTTTTGGAAGCCCGGCCAGATCGCCTCTCGGCCTGTTTATTTTTGTGTTGGGGGAGCTCTACTCAAGTAGGACCCAGGCCCCGATGCCAGCACCAATCCCCATCGACTCCTGCTGCTCCCTCAGGGTTCCTTGTGGGCCTTGGGAACAGAATAACTTGGGAGGGTGGCTGGGGTGCCACTGCCAGGTCAGACTTACTGCCAGGTTGGACTTTAAGGTTGTTCTTGCCCATCGGGGTCCTCAGCAGTCCTCTGGGAAACTCAAGGAATCCTGGGTCCTTCACCAGGCCTTCTTTTACAGTGTGTGCAAACTGACTAGTGTGATGAAGGGGGTGGCTGGTGCAAGGAGGAGGTGGGGCTGGGGGCAGTCCGGCCTTGCTGGTCAACTTTAAACTACCCCTGCCTGGCAAAGTGACCGCAGGGAGGCCTAGTGCTGTCTTAGCCTGGTTTGCCTCCCCTCCTCTCAGGATGGACATAATCTCTAGGGGATTATGGAGGAGGCAGTTGAGATTTGCTCCCTGCGAATGTGGGCTGCAAAAAATGGCTTTTGTCTCCCGCTTTCTCAGGACCTGGTGTGGTGAGCTGGTTGCTCCTAAGTCTTTGGCCAATCCTGCAGGCCCATCCCAACCTCTCCAACCCTTTTTGATCAGGGAATGTTAACTGGCCCTCTGCTCCTGTCCCAGTCCTTACTGTATCTCTTTGGAGGAGAAATGATCTGCAGAGTTTCTTTCTGCAGAAGCTAGTGTTTCCAAACCTGTCCGGAGGTACTGAGGAGAAGGGGTATACATGTGAGTGTAGGAAGAGTGCAGCATGAGCCTCATGCCTCTGGGCCCTGTGCTGGGACAGCCCCTCTTGCAGCTGTCATGCTGCCCAGCTGGGATTTGGCTGGTGTGTTTTACTTCTTCACTCCACCCCCTGAAACATACATACATGGGCTAGATCTCTTTGAGCCTGGTCTTGGGAAGGAGAAAATAGGGATTTTGCCCTTGAAAGATTTCTGGATATTAACCCCAAGGTGGGAGGTGGCACAGGGGTGGTAGAGTGAGGTTAGCTGTCACCCATGCTCTCTGCCCCTGCCTCCTATGGAAGACCCCTCCTGTTGTCTGTCCTCACTGAACTTCCTTAGGGGGGGCCTCTCGCTGTTAGCTGTGGATTACCTCAGGTTTACCCAGGGACTGTCTTGAGCAGCGGTCGTCAACCGGTGGTCCGCGGATCACTGGTGGTCCAAAAGGTTGGTGACTGCTGGTCTAGATAGAGGGTCTACAGGACTAGTGTTGCCATTTGGATTCTTCCTAGAGGGTCAACCCAAAATGAGGGTGGGAAGAGGTGTGGTTTGATTCTCAGGTTGGGAACCAGGAAGTCCTGAGTCCTACAGAAGTTGTTCACTCAAGAGCCTGCTTCAGCTTTTCACCCCTCCAAGCCTCCATTTCCCCCTTGGCTGGGAAAATGGAGTTAAAGCTATTGGTCTGGGATAGAGGCAGAGAGGAAAGTGTGCCACCCTGTCTTCTTCCTTGCTGTTTTGGGCTTCTTAGGCCTAGGACTAAGGGGAGCCAGCACAGTTTTACTCCCTAGATCTGTACTTCTGGGGATCTCTAGTTACCCAGAGGAAGCCTAGCCAGGCATTAGCTCATTTTAGAACTAGTGAAAAAACCCTTGATGTATATATGTGTGTGTGGTTTCTGGCTGTGAATGATGGGACAGGGAACCTGTGGTATTTATTTGTTTAGATTTGTTCAGGGGCCTGTCAGCTGGGACTCAGCATTGGGGTGCAGGTGCTAGACTGCAGGGGTAGGGAAATGGGGCTCAGGCTTCTCGGAGTTACCCCTAGATACAGTGCAGCTTGGAGGACATTATCTTCTTCACTTTGTGATCTCTCTTCTTCTGTGGCTCCATGAGTGAGGCTGTGGCTTTGGAAGATGTTGGTACTCTGTCTCCCAAGGCTGGATGCAGGTGGTTTCTGTACCTCCTCAAGCTGTGCTCGGGGGAGGGCAGAGGAATTTGTCCCTCTGGCCTTGTGTAAGGCAGTCTTCCTCCCACCCACTGTATTATCACTGTTGCTTTTTATTTGTGACTCCTTTGGACTTAACTTTAAGAGCAGAGCAGGTGGAAGATCTTTGGGGGCATACAGTAAAATTCACATATTTAGGAAATTTTGAAGCTTTCTGGGTGTGGTCAAGCCTTGAATGACTGAACAGGAAGAGGAGCCTGGCTGGTGCCCTGACCTCCAGCCCCTGCTTCTCATAGGTGGCTTCTAAGGGCCCCTTGAAGTTCCAGAGCAGCTTTTCTTGGGCCTGCCATATAACCACCTTGGTTTCCTTTCAGGTGTGGTTGTATGGTAGGTTTTGGAAAGAGATGGTTTGGGAATGGAGGGAACAGGCATCAAGTGATACTTCACTTTCCTAATCTAGTAGATTCTGATAGTTTGGGGGGAATAAAATAAAATTTCCTTTCCTGTGACATGTCACAGAGGTTCATTATTACTCTCTGGAAGTGGAGTGTGAGTTCAGGGAATGAAGACTAATATTGTGGTTCTTAAAGTAATTGATTTATTGATCCTGGGCACCTTTGAGGGTTTCCCCTGTCTCATCTGCCCCAGTCACTCAACCCCAAGTGGCTGACAAGGTTATTTGGTAGTTGGTTTGAGAAGAGGGGCTTGTCCTTGCTAAGGTTTGTATGTGACCCCTCTGGTTAAACAAAAGGAGTGGAAAAGGCGAGAGATAAACTTCTCAAATTTTATTTAGAGCTCTGTTTTAGGGATTCTCCCCACCCTCCTCCTTCCCTGGGAATACTATACTTTTCTTTCTCTGCTTAAGCCCTTACCTTAGATACCACTAATAGCTGCTGGCACCTATCCCTTTCTTCCTTCTGTAGGAACCCTTTTTTCTACCTTACTCTGTAATTTTTCTTATTCTTCTTTTTTTTGGGCTGTGTTTAGTTCTCTCTGAGGTTTAGGAAAATATGCCCAAAGATGTGGGTCTCAATCTTCTTATGTATAACTTTAACGTTTGTTTCATTTGGCTCTGATATAGGCAGGCATATTTTAGAAGAGGGGACCGTTACTCCACACCCCCATAGTGCGTGTGGAAACCCTGGTTGACAGAAGAGGAAGGAAGCTACTCTGCTGGGCTGTGTCCTGTCCTGTTTAGAACTCCTCCAAGTGGCAGTGTGCTTCCTGAGACTACAACTCCCAGCATGCCTAGCTTCAGGCCTGGCTACACATGCTCAGTGACTCTTAAGGCCCACTTCTGTTAACTACTAGGGATATCTTAGGAGGAAGGGCAGTTGGCGTTGCTAAGGGCAACAACCTGAGGACTTCAGGCTGGGTGAGATCCTGAGTTCAGTTGCTGCAGGGGCCAGGCCTGAGCTGGATTTGGATAGGCAGTGGGTAGAAATTGGGGAGTTTCTTATGTTGTGATTGGGATGTCCTGGTTGGAACCAGTGGAGGTTGGGGAGATCTATCCATACCTGGGCTTTAGTTTCAGTAACGTGTTCTACAGCCTGCAAGACCCCAGACTCTGTCTCTGGGAGAGGGATTTCAGCTGTACTCAGACTTCTTGGATTATGATTACCCATTGGTTGGCACTGACAGACCTCTAGGATGGTAGCTGACTTGAGGCCTCAGGGAAAAGGATAGGGATAGGGCCCACCAGAAGCCCAGAACTCAGATGTGAGGCAAAGGACGCTACTGTAGCTGACTGGATGTGCTTCTAGTTGGATGCTATTGCCCTGGGAACTCTTAGGAGTTAGGAAGTAGGAAAAGGGAGGGGATCCTCTGAGAATCCAGAGATGGAGAAGAGGGTCAGTGTTTATCTGGGGAGGAAGTAGGCAGTGGGATAAAGGTTAGGCAGAACTCTTTTGTCATTAGTGCAGGAATTGTAGGTATGGCTTTGTTCTGATTTCTGTAAGGTCTAGATACCATTAGCTGCATTCCTCCTAGGATTCTGGGAAAAGTGTTTAGTGGAGAGACTTTCTAGGCATACAGATATCTTTTTTGGCTTTGACAGGTCTCCCCGAGAGGGCCCTGCCCAGTCGGAGAGAGGGATGGATAGCCAGAAGCCGCCTGGTGAGGATAAAGATTCAGAACCGGCAGGTGAGTAGGGCAAATTTTGGGTTTACTGACAGCTTTCTGCTAATCCCAGACAACCTTAAATTTCTAGTCCTGGCACAAGGACAGGAGCTAAGTCTGTCTAATAGATGGGTAATTGAAGGACTTTGTTCTTTGGGACAAAAGTCAAAATGCCCTCAGTGTGATCCACCAACGGTTTTAGATAATCTCATAGGTCTGGTGACTAGACTAGTATTTAAATAGTGGATGATGGCTGATGTATGCTTCTCTGTTTGTTCATTCAGCTGATGGACATGCAGCCTCTGAGGAGTCAGGTGCCACTGAGGCAGACCTTCCCAACCCACATGTGGTGGAGGTATCTGTGCCCACTTCTGGGGGTCTCAGGCCTCAGGAACCACCTCAGGACCGCAGGTAACTAGTTTGGGGAAATGAGGACATAAGGGTACAAAAGGATTTGATTTGAGATTCCGGGGGCATTCAAGAGGAATATTTAGGAAAATGAGTGTTTGGGAAGCACAGGCGTGTTAAATCATGGGGTTGTCGGAGGGTGTGGGGGGATGACTGTAGGCAGGGGCCTGGCATGGTGCTGATGCTTGTGTGTCCACAGTGGGGGTCCACTGCGGCGTTGTGCTCTCTGTAACTGCGGGGAGCCCAGTCTGCATGGGCAGCGGGAGCTACGGCGCTTTGAGTTGCCATTTGACTGGCCCCGGTGTCCAGTGGTGTCTCCTGGAGGGAACTCAGAGCACAGTGAGGCAGCACTGCCCAGTGAGGACCTATCACAGATTGGTTTCCCTGAGGGCCTGACACCTGCCCACCTAGGAGAGCCTGGAGGTAAGTAACTGACCTGGGCAGGAAAGAGGGTAGGGGCTGGGTGGTCCAAAGCCAGCGATCACCTTTTTGTTAATTCATTCCTTTCTGTTTGCCTTTTTCTACTTATACAGGGTCCTGCTGGGCTCACCATTGGTGTGCCGTGTGGTCGGCCGGTGTATGGGGGAAGGGGGGCCCAGAGCTATGTGGTGTGGACAAGGCCATCTTCTCAGGGATCTCACAGGTGGGGCTGGGGCCAGGGGATTGCATAGGTAAAGGGCAGGGTGGACAGGGTTATTGGGCTTCTGAGAGTCAGGGTAGAATTAGAAGGGCAGTGGGCATAGTGGGGCAGAGCTAGTGCCTGATATATTGCTCTGGAGTGAGCTGACTGGCACTGAGGCTTTGTTTCCACCCTGGCAGCGCTGCTCCCACTGCACCAGGCTCGGTGCCTCCATCCCTTGTCGCTCACCTGGATGCCCACGGCTTTACCACTTCCCCTGTGCCACTGCCAGCGGTTCCTTCTTATCCATGAAAACACTGCAGCTGCTATGCCCGGAGCACAGTGAGGGTGCCGCACATCTGGGTGAGAAGTCCTGCTCCTTGTACATCAGGCAATGAGGGGTCAAGAGTGCCTGGGGTTTGTACTTTGCAGAGCACTATCAACGATGGTAATTTTATACTGTCAGTCTGCCTCATTAAAATAGGTGTGAACTTTGAGAGTGCAGGGGCTTTGCCTGTCTTATTTACTATGATGTCTGCAATGCCTAGAACAATGCCTAGCATATATTAGGCAGACACTTAGTAACTGTGTATTTGTTCATTCTGGTCCATGGAATGCCTGTTATGTAGACAGCACTGTCCTGAGACCTGCAAGGAATCCATATCTGACCTGTGTTCTCTGTCCCTTTTGACTGCAGAGGAGGCTCGTTGTGCAGTATGTGAGGGACCAGGGGAATTGTGTGACCTGTTCTTCTGTACCAGTTGTGGGCATCACTATCATGGGGCCTGCCTGGACACTGCTCTGACTGCCCGCAAGCGTGCTGGCTGGCAGTGCCCTGAATGCAAAGTGTGCCAAGCCTGCAGGTAAGAATGGGAAGGCAGGAGGAAAGCCTTAGGCAAAGCACAGTTTAGGGTTAAAAACAAGGGCAGGGAGGGACCCTGTTATGTGCCCTGTCTCTGCAGGAAACCTGGGAATGACTCTAAGATGTTGGTCTGTGAGACGTGTGACAAAGGATACCATACCTTCTGCCTAAAACCACCTATGGAAGAACTGCCTGCTCACTCTTGGAAGTGCAAGGTGAGGGTCCTTGATCCTGCCTTACTCTTCTAATTCTGCCTCCTATAACATCCAGAGTTTCTCTGTTGTGACAAGTCCCATGCTCCCCTCTAGTCTCTGCTGTCTGACTGATGCCTGTTTTGCTTTCTCCTTTCTCTAGGCGTGCCGGGTATGCCGGTCCTGTGGGGCAGGCTCAGCAGAGCTGAATCCCAACTCTGAGTGGTTCGAGAACTACTCACTCTGTTATCGCTGTCACAAAACCCAGGGAGGACAGCCTATAAGTTCTGTTGCTGAGCAGCGTTCTGCTGTCTGTAGCAGGTAAGTAGTGTGGACTGAAAGAGATTGGACTGTGGGATCGGAAGTGCTGAGATTGGCAGAGGGAGCCCTAAGATGGGCAGTACAACCCATGGCATTCATGCCTTACCCCAGTACACTCTCTAGGAGTTGATAGCTGATGAGAGCCACAATGCCTACTCCCCTGTACCCTCTGCAGATTCTCACCCCCAGAGCCTGGCGATACCCCCACTGATGAGCCCGATGCTCTGTACGTTGCATGCCAAGGGCAGCCAAAGGGTGGGCACGTGACCTCTATGCAACCCAAGGAACCGGGGCCCCTGCAATGTGAAGCCAAACCACTAGGTGAGTAGGGTTTGAGGGTCCATGAAAGTCCCCTTCTGTTCTGTGGTAAGGGACAGTTTCTGCTCTGCCTTAGACTCTGTACTTTCTGTGGAGTGGAGTTGAGCTAGATAGAAGCACAGTATGTTATATCTACAGGGAGAGCAGGGGCCCAACTTGAGCCACAGTTGGAGGCCCCCCTAAATGAGGAGATGCCACTGCTGCCCCCACCTGAGGAGTCGCCCTTGTCCCCACCACCTGAGGAATCACCCACATCCCCGCCGCCTGAGGCATCTCGTCTATCCCCACCGCCTGAGGAATCACCCCTCTCTCCACCGCCTGAGGAGTCTCCTCTGTCTCCCCCACCTGAATCATCACCTTTTTCTCCACTGGAAGAGTCACCCTTTTCTCCACCAGAGGAGTCACCCCCATCTCCTCCACTTGAGACACCCCTGTCCCCACCACCTGAAGCATCACCCCTGAACCCACCATTTGAGGAGTCTCCCCTGTCCCCACCACCCGAGGAATTACCCACTTCCCCACCACCTGAAGCATCTCGCCTGTCTCCACCACCTGAGGAGTCACCCATGTCTCCTCCACCTGAAGAGTCACCCATGTCTCCACCACCTGAGGCATCGCGTATGTTCCCACCATTTGAAGAATCTCCCCTGTCCCCCCCACCAGAGGAGTCTCCCCTCTCCCCACCACCCGAGGCTTCACGCCTTTCCCCACCACCTGAGGATTCACCCATGTCCCCACCACCTGAAGACTCACCTATGTCCCCCCCACCTGAGGTATCATGCCTATCCCTCCTGCCTGAGGTGTCACGCCTGTCCCCACCGCCTGAGGAATCTCCCCTGTCCCCACCACCTGAGGAGTCTCCCACATCCCCTCCACCTGAGGCTTCACGTGTATCCCCACCACCTGAGGATTCACCCACATCCCCACCACCTGAAGACTCCCCTGCGTCCCCGCCACCAGAGGACTTGCTCGTGTCCCTACCACTGGAGGAGTCACCCCTGTCGCCATTGCCTGAGGAGCTGCAATTCTGCCCCCCACTTGAGGAATCGCACCTATCCCCCACAACTGAGGAGCTGCGTCTGTCCCCCAAGCCTGAGGAGCTGCGTCTGTCCCCCAATCCTGAGGAGCCGCGCCTGTCCCCCAAGCCTGAGGAGCTGCGCCTGTCCCCCAAGCCTGAGGAGCTGCGCCTGTCCCCCAAGCCTGAGGAGCTGCGCCTGTCCCCCAAGCCTGAGGAGCTGCGCCTGTCCCCCAAGCCTGAGGAGCTGCGCCTGTCCCCCAAGCCTGAGGAGCTGCGCCTGTCCCCCAAGCCTGAGGAGCTGCGCCTGTCCCCCAAGCCTGAGGAGCTGCGCCTGTCCCCCAAGCCTGAGGAGCTGCGCCTGTCCCCCAAGCCTGAGGAGCTGCGCCTGTCCCCCAAGCCTGAGGAGCTGCGCCTGTCCCCACGCCTGTCCCCTCGGCCCGAGGAGCCATGCCTGTCCGCTGCAGCCAAGGAACTGCTGCTGCCCCCCCAGCCTGAGGAGCTGTGCCTATCCCTTGCACCTGAGGAGCTGCACCTGTCCCCCCAGCCAGAAGAACCACATCTGTCTCCGCAGCCAGAGGAAGCACGCCTGTCCCCCCAGCCTGAGGAACCACACCTATCCCCCATGCCCGAGGAGCGACAGCCATCTCCTGTGCCTGAGGAGCTGCGCCTGTCCCCCCGGCCTGAGGAGCCACACCTGTCTTCCCACCCTAAGGAACCATGCCTGTCCCCTCGACCTGAAGAGCCCCTTGGGGAGCCAAGCCTATGCTCTGCACCTGAGGAACTGCCCTTGTTCCTCCCACCTGGGGAGCCAACCTTATCCCCCTTGCTTGGAGAGCCGGCTCTGTCTGAGCCTGGGGAACCACCTCTGTCCCCTCTGCCTGAGGAGCTACCGTTGTCCCCAACTAGGGAGCCATCCTTGTCACCTCAGCTGATGCCACCAGGTAAGGGGATGTTAGTACCCTCTTTCTCTGGGACAGTCTTGATTCTTTATGGCACATCTAATCTAAGAGCCTCCCTTTTTCTCTTTCCTTCCAGATCCACTTCCTCCTCCGCTCTCACCCATTATCACAGCTGTAGCCCCACCAGCCCTCTCTCCTTTGGGGGAGTTAGAGTACCCCTTTGGTGCCAAAGGGGACAGTGACCCTGAGTCACCATTGGCTGCCCCCATCCTAGAGACACCCATTAGCCCTCCACCGGAAGCTAACTGCACTGACCCCGAGCCTGTACCCCCTATGATCCTTCCCCCATCTCCAGGCTCCCCAATGGGACTGGCCTCTCCCATCCTGATGGAGCCCCTTCCCCCTCGGTGTTCTCCACTCCTCCAGCATTCCCTACCTCCCCAGAACTCCCCTCCTTCACAGTGCTCTCCTCCTGCTCTGCCACTGTCCATTCCCTCCCCACTGAGTCCCATAGAGAAGGCAATGGAGGTTTCACATGAGGCCGAGCCGCCTGAGATGGAGATTGAGAAAGCCCCAGAACCCGAGTGCCCAGCCTTGGAGCCTAGCCCTACTAGTCCTCTCCCCTCCCCCATGGGGAACCTTTCCTGCCCTGCACCCAGTCCTGCCCCAGCCCTGGAAGACTTCTCTGGCCTGGGGGAAGACACAGCCCCTCTGGATGGGACTGACACTCCTGATTCCCAGCCAGAGGCTGGACAGACCCCTGGCAGTTTGGCTAGTGAACTTAAGGGTTCCCCTGTGCTCCTGGACCCCGAGGAGCTGGCCCCTGTGACCCCTATGGAGGTCTATGGCCCAGAGTGCAAGCAGACAGGGCAGGGCTCACCCTGTGAAGAGCAAGAGGAGCCACGTGCACCAGTGGCCCCTACCCCACCTGTTCTCATCAAATCCGACATCGTTAATGAGATCTCCAATCTGAGCCAGGGCGATGCCAGTGCCAGTTTTCCTGGCTCAGAGCCCCTGCTGGGCTCTCCTGACCCCGAGGGGGGCGGCTCCTTGTCTATGGAGTTGGGGGTATCTACAGATGTTAGTCCAGCTCGAGATGAAGGCTCCCTTCGGCTCTGTACTGACTCTCTGCCAGAGACTGATGACTCACTGTTGTGTGATACTGGGACAGCTGTCAGTGGAGGCAAAGCTGAAGGGGACAAGGGGAAGCGGCGCAGCTCCCCAGCTCGTTCCCGCATCAAACAGGTAAGGGGCTATCCAGTCACTGGATGTGGTCAACTTCATGCTAATAACGTCAGAGGTACAATGCTGTGTCACTAATACCTTCCCACCTGGCTTATTGAATTCTAGACTGTCAGGGCTCCTTTAGTCCACTCTTATTTTATTAAGGAGAATACTAATACATAGAGTGGGAAGTGACTTTCCCAGCTTCATGGTTACTCAGTAATAGAATCAACTAGAAACGCGGGCCTTTAACACCAGTATTTTTATCATTGGGCCACTTGGCCACTTTTGCTTGGGAGAAGAGCTGCCTACTTGTTGCTGTCTGAGAGTGAGCTTTTCCCTTGCCCTGCTGGGACTCCTGGCCTTTATTACCTGTTATGCTCTGTCCATTAGTTTCTTCTCTTCCTTCTAAACCTGTGGACCCAACACACTAGTCCTCAACTTCTCCCTGTTATTATCCACTTCCTTCACTCAGGGTCGCAGCAGTAGTTTCCCAGGAAGACGCCGGCCACGTGGAGGAGCACATGGAGGACGTGGGAGAGGACGGGCCCGGCTAAAATCAACCACTTCTTCCATTGAGACTCTGGTAGTAAGGAGAGGCTTCCCATCCCCCAAACATGCTTCAGCTGGCTCTTTCAAGATTAAACATCCTTTAATCCTGTCAGTCCCCTGCACGCTCACCTGCCTGCCTGCTAGCCTAGGGCCTGTCCGCTCTGTCTACTCCTTCTGTCCACTTGGCCCCCAGGCTTCTCTGAAATCTCTGCTGTTGGGCTGAGGCCCAGTTTGGGAGCTGGGGTGTTCTTCTGCTTCTTAGTCTCACTTCTGGCCTTCATTTAGCCAGGGGTTCATACCTCCTTCCCCCAGTACCAAAGAGGAAAGCAGCTTAGTTGGCGCAGATTTAGCTGCCTCACATTCCACAACTCTCTGCCTATAAGGTTGCTGATATCGATAGCTCTCCCAGCAAGGAGGAGGAAGATGATGATGACGACACCATGCAAAATACTGTGGTTCTCTTCTCCAATACAGACAAGTTTGTCCTAATGCAGGTACCATATGTGACTGGCAGACTCATATTGGGTGTATGTTTTTAGGTGGGAGAGCAGATGCAGAAAACCAAAGACCTACTTCTCTACCAGCTAATCAGAAAACAGTGAATTGGAATCACATTGTTCATTTTTTTGTCAATCCATCAGATTTCTCTTGAGTGTCACCTCTGAGGTTGGCACTGAACTAGGAGCTAGGGATATAGCAGTGAAAAGGCAGAAATGATTTCTGCCCTGTTGAAGGGAGCTTATGTATGTTCTCACCTGAATAATCCCACAAAGCTGATAGAATACTGGCACATATGTTGCTCTCTCAGCCTCACCAATCTTTACCCATCTTCTCCTTTTATTTCTTACTTTTACCCATATCAGGCTATTTTTTTAAAAATAAGTTTATTGATTTTTAGAGAGAGAGATGTGAGAGAGAAACATTGATCAGTTGGTTGCCTCCAGGGATCCGACCCACAACCTAGGTATGTGCCCTGACTGGGAATTGAACCGCTGACCACTTGGTTCCTGGGTTGACACTCAACCGCTGAGCCACACCAGCTAGGCAACGCATCAAGCTAAGAAGGAACAGGGCCCCATGATGGCTCACAGTGTCCTGAGGCCAGGGGTTGGGCTTTTGGTTCCCTGACTCCTTCCCTCAGATTAGAGTTGTACTTAGTTGCCAGGACTGAGTGGGAAAAGGAGACCTACCTAGTTGGACATTGGGTTTCTGTGTATTTCCCCAGGACATGTGTGTAGTATGTGGCAGCTTTGGCCGGGGGGCAGAGGGCCACCTCCTTGCCTGTTCCCAGTGTTCGCAGTGCTATCACCCATACTGTGTCAACAGCAAGGTAAGTTCAGAGCCCAAGAGGCCTGGGTTGGGGAACTGGGTCACTTATTTCTTATCCCAGGCCCCCACACTACTTAAAGTGGCCTTTGATAGTAAAAGTCATTCTTCAGTCACCAGTGGTTATCAGACTCATCTTGGGGGGAAAATACTTTGGAATTGGTAGTGGTCTTTATAGTTTTTTGGTAGTAGACCATGAGTTGCTGGTATGATTCAGTCCATCATAGAAACTATGAGAACTTTACTAGTAGAAAGCATGATATAGTCTGAAGATAAAATGTAAAATGAAAATCATAAGCAAATGTCCACAAAGAGAAAGCAGTGTTTTTGACTCAAGCATAATTAGTCAGCTTGTTGTTCACTTAGTCAGTTTGATATTCATTTAGAACTTGTCCACTGCTAACATTCCTTAACTTGCATTAGTAGCAGGTTTTTAAATGTTCAAGAAAAATTGGAGGAAATACAATCTAATCCTATCCATAATCTTGTTGGGGACTTGGCTAGTAAAAGGTTGCCAGTCCATGCATAATGAGGCAGTGGCCAGGAGAGGTTCCTGGGAGCCTAACTATAGAGTCACTACATATTTTTGAGGTGAGGGTGCTCTGCATAGCCTTTATTTGCTCAAATGGAGGTCTGGCCTGGGCGTTGGGGTCCTCCAGCCCAACCCATATAAGTCCCATCCTCCCCTAAGAAGTCTGCCCTCTCCTCTCCATCACACCCTGAGAAATGTCATCTTCTGTACCAGATCACCAAGGTGATGCTATTAAAAGGCTGGCGTTGTGTGGAGTGCATCGTGTGTGAGGTATGCGGCCAGGCCTCAGACCCCTCACGCCTGCTGCTCTGTGATGACTGTGACATTAGCTACCACACCTACTGCCTGGACCCCCCACTGCTCACCGTGCCCAAGGGCGGCTGGAAGTGCAAGTGGTAAGGAGACCCAGGATCTTCAGAGGGGCCTGGGCCTGATACGTCAGAGTAGATGTGATGGTGAACACATGACAGGTTGGGTTTAGAAAACCAGGCTGGGACACATGGTTTTCAATGAGGGGCACCTCTGGCTGCCTTGGGTAGCTTAGGTGCTGAGGGTCTTTCTGCTCCCACTAGGTGTGTGTCTTGTATGCAGTGTGGAGCCGCCTCCCCTGGCTTCCACTGTGAATGGCAGAACAGTTACACACACTGCGGGCCCTGTGCCAGCCTGGTGACCTGCCCTATCTGTCATGCCCCATACGTGGAAGAGGACCTTCTGATCCAGTGCCGCCATTGTGAACGGTGAGGGTGCTCCTTTCCCCTGGTTTGGCTCCCTCTTTCCTATCCTCAGCTTTGCATTGTCTGGGTTTATCTCCTCATGTCTTCCTTCTTCCAGGTGGATGCATGCCGGCTGCGAGAGCCTCTTCACAGAGGATGATGTGGAGCAGGCAGCCGATGAGGGCTTTGACTGTGTCTCCTGCCAGCCTTATGTAATTAAGCCTGCTGGTGAGTACCAAATGCTAGGGAAGGAGAGGAGGAGTCAGGACTGGGGTGCCTTGCTTTGGGACAGGGCCTCAAACCGCCTTGGTTTGTCCTTCTCTCCACAGCACCTGTTGCGCCTCCAGAGTTGGTGCCTATGAAGGTGAAAGAGCCAGGTGAAATTCTGAGTGCCGAAGCCAAGGAGAACTTAGACACTGTCTAGTCCAGCTCCACCTCCCTAACTTTATCTCATTTTAAGAGGGGGAAACTAAGACCCAGAGAGACTGAGTAGCCTGCCCAAGGTCACCCACTAGGTTATTGACAAAGTTATGACTACAACCAAGGCCTCTAGTTTCCCAGGCAGAGTTCCTTCCACCAGGAAACATGGCCTCTGTACTACCAGAGTGTCGCCTCCAGAGAGCACAGGACACTGCTGTTTCCTCACTGAAGAGGCTGGGGCCATCTCCTCCATCATGATGTAGGTGTTGCTCCTGGCATCTGGGGCACTGTGTGCTGGCATTCAGCGAGTAGGAGCACTTCCAGCCCCAGACAGCTAGAGAACATATTTGGTGAACCTAGGGTTAATCATGAGCAAAGTCAGGCTTCTGCAGTAGCAGCCTGAATCCTCCTAGGTCATTGATGGAGAATTAGAACCTTAGCTAGCACCCAGTGGTGACCAGTCCTCTCCACCCTTCAGGCCCCAGGGTCTGGTCTGTCTCTCTCTCACTGTTTTTGTCCCAGCTGGGGACTTAGGCTGAAACTTGGAGTTCTGGTTTCCCTGGGGTCACATGCTCTTCCCTTTTGTGCAGAGCCCCAGTACTTTCGCTTTGAGGGTGTGTGGCTGACAGAAACTGGCATGGCTGTGCTGCGTAACCTTACCATGTCACCCCTGCACAAGCGGCGCCAGCGGCGAGGACGGCTTGGCCTCCCAGGCGAGGCTGGGCTGGAAGGTTCTGAGCCCTCAGATGCCCTTGGCCCTGATGACAAGAAGGATGGGGACCTAGACACTGAAGAGCTGCTCAAGGGTGAAGGTAAGGCTGGGGAATCTGCCAAAGTAGCGGGAGCGTGCCTGTGAGAGTTGGATGTTGGGAGGGAGCAGCATTGTCATTCCTGATCATCCTCAGGCCACTGTTGGTCTTGTCCAATGGCTCTGGCAAGGCACTCAGCTCTCTGTTCTTGGGTGGCAGGATGACAGAGTTAAAGGGCCCACGCCTCTGCTCTGCCTCCATCTCCTCTGTTTAAATAACGCAGGTGGTGTGGAGCACATGGAGTGTGAAATTAAACTGGAGGGCCCCATCAGCCCTGATGTAGAACCTGGCAAGGAGGAGACTGAGGAGAGTAAAAAACGCAAACGCAAACCCTATCGGCCTGGTGAGGCCCTGGGATGGGGAATGGGGTGGGGAGGGGTGGCTCACCCGGTCCCTAGTGGCTTCTCAACTTCAGCTCTGCCTCCTCATAGGCATTGGTGGTTTCATGGTGCGACAGCGGAAATCCCACACACGTGTGAAAAAGGGGCCTGCTGCACAGGCGGAGGTGTTGAGTGGGGATGGGCAGCCCGACGAGGGTGAGACGGGTGAGGGCTCCAGTGGGGCCTGGGAGAAGGTGGGGATCACAGGACCTATAGGGCACTGCCAGGGAGGCCCGGAGGAGGGCTCACTCAAAGGGTTGAGAGGGTGGTGGGTCCAGTTGGTTTTGGGGGAGAGAATAGGCAGAAAGCATCCTCAGGCCAACTTGGGAGCAGCATGCTCAGTGTCCCTAGAGAAGTTGACACTTTCCATTCTGTCCCCAGTGATGCCTGCTGACCTGCCTGCAGAGGGCTCTGTGGAACAGAGCCCAGCAGATGCAGAAGAGAAGAAGAAGCAGCAGCGGCGAGGGCGCAAGAAGAGCAAACTAGAGGACATGTTTCCTGCTTACCTGCAGGTGGGCCTTAGGCTCTGAAGGGTACAGGGAATTCTCCCTGCAGAACATGAAGAAGCCTATTTCTCCCTGCCTCTTCCCACAGGAGGCCTTCTTTGGGAAGGAGCTGTTGGACCTGAGCCGGAAGGCCCTTTTTGCAGTTGGGGTGGGCCGGCCAAGCTTTGCACTAGGAACCCCAAAAGCCAAGGGGGATGGAGGCTCAGATAGGAAGGAGCTCCCCACCTTACAGAAAGGTCAGTCACGTGGTGGTAAAGAGGTCTGAAGGGACCCAACTTTCCTCTGTGCTTAGGAGCTGGGAAGAGAACTTGGTGGGGGATGGGCTGGTCTCCAGGAATTGAGGGTAGGCCAAGGGCCCTGGCCTGTGGAGCTGGAGACCCATTCTGGATGTCAGATGTGGGACATCTCTGATTGGAATGGCGACTATTGCTTATAGGAGATGATGGTACAGAGGTTGCAGATGAAGAATCCCGTGGTGCTGAGGGCAAGGCTGATACACCAGGTGAGGCCTGCTGGGAGGACTTCATCCTAGCTTGGTTTTGCCTCTGTCAAACTTTTCCATGCCTTCTGTAGTCAGTGTGGTACCTCCATACTGGCCTTGGCTGAAGGGTTTCTCCTGCTCATTGCAGGACCTGAGGATGGGGGTGTAAAGGCATCCCCAGTGCCCAGTGACCCCGAGAAGCCAGGAACTCCGGGAGAAGGGATGCTTAGCTCTGACTTAGACAGGATTCCTACAGAAGGTGAGGCTGTGACCTACTCTCTTCATGTATAAAGGGTCCTCTGTGGGAGAAGGAGAAGATTCTGCTTGTGAGACTCTCATCTATACAGTGGGGAGTCCTGGGCACCTGCCCCGGCCATGACTATTTGTAGATGTGTGGTGTCCCCTCAGCTCCCCAGTCTCCCTCAGCAGCATCCTCCCTCAATCCCTTATAGAACTGCCCAAGATAGAATCCAAGGACCTGCAGCAGCTCTTCAAGGATGTTCTGGGTTCTGAACGAGAGCAGCATCTGGGTTGTGGAACCCCTGGCCTAGATGGCAGCCGTACACCGCTGCAGAGGCCCTTTCTTCAAGGTGATATGGGTGGTTTGAAGACTAGTGGGCAGGTACGGCCAAGCTTGCCCCCAGGATGGGCCACTTGCTCCCTTTCTCTGATCCTGTGCCTCTTGTAGGTGGACTCCCTTTGGGCAATCTCCCGTCCAGCAGCCCAATGGACTCCTATCCAGGCCTCTGCCAGTCCCCATTCTTGGATTCTAGGTTGGTATCTATGCTTAATCTTCATGGGCCGTCCCCATAGTCCCTTCCCTCCAGTTGGGTTCATGCCAAGGGAGGGAACCTTGGACTCCTGGATGCTGCTGTAGTAATACTTCCCCCTTTTTCTCTCCACCTCCTTCTTAGTGGCCCTCCTCTGTTGGGGCAGGGTTTTGGCCTGGGGCCCCTGGGCAGTTTGTCTGGGTTGGGGTGTGGCAACCCTGCCCCCTGTGACTTTCTGCCCCTGCGCCCCAGGGAGCGCGGGGGCTTCTTTAGCCCAGAACCAGGTGAACCAGACAGTCCCTGGACAGGCTCAGGAGGCACCACGCCCTCCACCCCCACCACCCCCACCACGGAGGGTGAGGGCGACGGGCTCTCCTATAACCAGCGGAGTCTTCAGCGCTGGGAGAAGGATGAGGAGTTGGGCCAACTCTCCACTATCTCACCTGTGCTGTATGCCAACATTAACTTTCCCAATCTCAAGCAAGATTACCCAGGTACCTGTGGGGCGAGGGCAAGGGAGACAACAACCTGGTAACATGGCAGTTGCAGGGGCCACCTGCCAAGTTTCCTAATACAATCCCTCTGTCCTCCAGACTGGTCTAGCCGTTGCAAACAAATCATGAAGCTCTGGAGAAAAGTTCCAGCTGCTGACAAAGCCCCCTATCTGGTGAGACAGAAGGAAGCCTGAGTCAGCAGGACTGGGAACTGAGCGGGGGGAGGTATTTGGGGGAAATTTCAGTTCTTTCCATTCCCCACTCCTAAAGCATCTGGGCTAGAAGGGATCAGCTTTTGGGTAGGGAATGTGAGGATGGGGGCTGGGCATGAGGCTGAGCCCTAGGCCTAAGGCTGTGTCCTCCATCCTTTAGCAAAAGGCCAAAGATAACCGGGCGGCTCACCGCATCAACAAGGTGCAAAAGGTGAGTGGGGGCCCCACCAGGCTGCACCATTGATGTCTTGTAGCAGGTGGCCTCTGTGATGGTAGGGGGATGTAGGGCCTGTCCACAGCAGCCTGACTGCTCTGTGCCTGGTCTCCTCCGTAGCAGGCTGAGAGCCAGATCAACAAGCAGACCAAGGTGGGCGACATGGCCCGTAAGACTGACCGACCGGCCCTACATCTCCGCATTCCCCCCCAGCCAGGGGCACTGGGCAGTCCGCCCCCTGCTGCGGCCCCCACCATTTTCATTGGCAGCCCCACTACCCCCGCCGGCTTGTCTACCTCTGCGGACGGGTTCCTGAAGCCGCCGGCGGGCACGGTGCCTGGCCCCGACTCGCCCGGTGAGCTCTTCCTCAAGCTCCCACCCCAGGTGCCCGCCCAAGTGCCTTCGCAGGACCCCTTTGGACTGGCCCCTGCTTACGCTCTGGAGCCCCGCTTCCCTACGGCACCATCTACCTATCCTCCCTATCCTAGTCCGACTGGGGCTCCTGTGCAGCCCCCGACACTGGGCACCTCATCTCGTCCTGGGACTGGCCAGCCAGGGGAATTCCACACTACCCCACCTGGCACCCCCCGACACCAGCCCTCCACACCTGACCCCTTCCTCAAACCCCGCTGCCCCTCATTGGACAACCTGGCTGTGCCTGAGAGCCCAGGAGTAGGGGGTGGCAAGGCTTCCGAGCCCCTGCTGTCACCCCCGCCTTTTGGGGAGTCTCGGAAAGCCCTGGAGGTGAAGAAGGAAGAGCTTGGGGCATCCTCTCCTAGCTATGGGCCTCCAAACCTGGGCTTTGTTGACTCACCCTCCTCAGGCCCCCACCTGGGCAGCCTGGAGTTAAAGGCACCTGATGTCTTTAAAGCTCCCCTGACCCCTCGGGCATCTCAGGTAGAGCCCCAGAGCCCGGGCTTGGGCCTAAGGCCCCAGGAGCCATCCCCTGCCCAGGCTTTGGCCCCTTCACCCCCCAGCCACTCGGATATCTTTCGCCCTGGCCCCTACCCTGACCCTTATGCTCAGCCCCCATTGACCCCTCGGCCCCAGCCCCCAGCCCCTGAGAGCTGCTGTGCCCTACCCCCTCGATCACTGCCCTCTGACCCTTTCTCCCGAGTGCCCGCTAGTCCCCAGTCCCAGTCCAGCTCCCAGTCCCCATTGACACCCCGTCCTCTGTCTGCTGAGGCTTTCTGTCCATCTCCTGTGACCCCTCGCTTTCAGTCTCCTGACCCTTATTCCCGCCCACCCTCTCGCCCTCAGTCCCGTGACCCATTTGCCCCATTGCATAAGCCACCCCGACCCCAGCCCCCTGAAGTTGCCTTTAAGTCTGGGCCTCTAGCTCACACTCCACTGGGGGCTGGGGGATTCCCAGCAGCCCTGCCCTCAGGGCCAGCAGGTGAGCTCCATGCCAAGGTCCCAAGTGGGCAGCCCCCAAATTTCGCCCGATCCCCTGGGACGGGTGCATTTGTGGGCACGCCCTCTCCCATGCGTTTCACTTTCCCTCAGGCAGTCGGGGAGCCCTCTTCCCTAAAGCCCCCTGTCCCTCAGCCTGGTCTCCCTCCACCCCACGGGATCAACAGCCATTTTGGGCCTGGCCCTACTTTGGGCAAGCCTCAAAGCACAAACTACTCAGTAGCCACAGGGAACTTCCACCCATCGGGTAGCCCTCTGGGACCCAGCAGCGGGTCCACAGGAGAGGGCTATGGGCTGTCCCCGCTACGCCCCCAGTCGGTCCTACCACCACCTGTACCCGATGGATCCCTCCCCTACCCACCCCATGGAGCCTCACAGCGGGCTGGCATCACCTCTCCAGTCGATAAACGAGAAGACCCAGGAGCTGGAATGGCCGGCTCTTTGGCAGCACCTGAACTTCCAGGTACCCAGGACCCAGGCATCTCCAGCCTCAGCCAGACAGAGCTAGAGAAGCAACGGCAGGTGAGTTGACATCGTGGAGCTGACTCCCTCATACCTCCACTCTACCTGTGCCAGCCCTGTGGTTAGAGTATGATAGACTTACCCTTCTCTGTTCTCTGCACAGCGCCAGCGACTGCGAGAGCTGCTGATTCGGCAACAGATCCAGCGCAATACCCTGCGGCAGGAGAAGGAAACAGCTGCAGCAGCTGCAGGAGCAGTGGGGCCTCCAGGGAACTGGGGTACTGAGCCCAGCAACCCTGCCTTTGAGCAGCTGAGTCGAGGCCAGACCCCCTTTGCTGGGACCCAGGTAGGTAGGGTGGCAAGGTGTGGTGGGCCCAGGTTACTGAAAGTGGCCCCACCTTCATCTACCTCTTATCTCTCCTAGGATAAGAGTAGCCTTGGGCTGCCCTCAAACAAGCTGGGTGGCCCCATCCTAGGGCCAGGGGCTTTCCCAAGTGATGACCGACTCTCCCGGCCACCTCCACCAGCCACCCCTTCCTCTATGGATGTGAATAGCCGGTGAGGCTCCAGGGTTACTGGGGGCAAATCAAGGGAACAGACTTGACCACCTCTGTGTACTGCCTCTGACTTACCTGTCTCTCTAATTCTTCTCCAGTATCATTCTTCTCCCCTATTCCTTCCCCCTTGCCACATTAACTCTACCCTTCCCTACTGCCCTAGGCCTATGTTCTAGTTCTTCTTCATCTTAATGTCTACTTCATCTTACTGACTACTGCATATTCTTCCAGGCAACTGGTGGGAGGCTCCCAAGCCTTCTATCAGCGAGCACCCTATCCTGGGTCCCTGCCCTTACAGCAGCAGCAGCAACACCTCTGGCAGCAGCAGCAGCAGCAGCAAGCAACAGCAGCAAACTCCATGAGACTTGCCATGTCTTCTCGCTTTTCATCAACTCCTGGGCCTGAACTTGGCCGCCAAAACCTAGGTTCCCCCTTGGCAGGACTTCCTACTCGCCTGCCTGGCCCTGGCGAGCCAGTGCCTGGTCCAGCTGGCCCTGCCCAGTTCATTGAGTTGCGGCACAATGTACAAAAAGGACTAGGACCTGGGGGGCCTCCATTTCCTGGTCAGGGTCCCCCTCAGAGACCCCGATTTTACCCTGTAAGTGAGGACTCCCACCGATTGGCTCCTGAAGGGCTTCGTGGTCTAACGGTATCAGGCCTTCCCCCACAGAAACCCTCAGCCCCGCTGGCCCCTGAACTGAACAATAGCCTCCATCCAGCGCCCAACACCAAAGGTCCCACCCTGCCCCCTGGCTTGGAGCTGGTCAGCCGGCCCCCATCGAGCACTGAGCTTGGCCGCCCCCCTCCTCTGGTCTTGGAAGCTGGGAAATTACCCTGTGAGGACCCTGAGCTGGATGATGACTTTGATGCCCACAAGGCCCTGGAGGATGATGAACTTGCTCACTTGGGCCTGGGTGTAGATGTGGCCAAGGGAGATGATGAGCTGGGCACCCTGGAAAACCTGGAGACCAACGATCCCCACCTGGATGACCTGCTCAATGGAGATGAGTTTGATCTATTGGCCTATACTGACCCTGAGTTGGACACTGGAGACAAGAAGGACATCTTCAATGAGCACCTGAGGCTGGTGGAATCAGCCAATGAAAAGGCTGAGCGGGAGGCCCTGTTGCGGGGGGTGGAGCCAGGACCCCTGGGCCCTGAGGAACGCCCTCCCCCCGCTGCTGATGCTTCTGAGCCCCGTCTGGCACCAGTGCTCCCTGAGGTGAAGCCCAAGGTGGAGGAGGGTGGACGCCACCCTTCCCCTTGCCAGTTCACCATTACCAACCCCAAGGTAGAGCCAGCACCTGCCACCACTTCCCTAGGCCTGGGACTGAAGCCAGGACAGAGTGTGATGGGCAGCCGGGACACACGGATGGGCACAGGACCCTTTTCTAGCAGTGGGCACACTGGAGCCACAGGAGGACCACCAGCTCACCTGCTGACCCCTAACCCACTGAGTGGCCCAGGAGGGTCCTCTCTGCTGGAGAAGTTTGAATTAGAGAGCGGAGCCCTGACCTTGCCTGGTGGACATGCAGCATCTGGGGATGAGTTGGACAAAATGGAGAGCTCCCTGGTCGCTAGCGAGTTACCGCTGCTTATTGAAGACCTGCTGGAGCATGAGAAGAAGGAGCTGCAGAAGAAACAGCAGCTCTCAGCACAGCTACAGCCGGTCCAGCAGCAACAGCAGCATTCTCTACTGTCCACACCAGGCCCTGCCCAGGCCATGTCTTTGCCACATGAGGGCTCTTCTTCCACTTTGGCTGGGCCCCAACAACAGCTTGCCCTGGGACTTGGAGGTTCCCGACAGCCAGGCTTGGCCCAACCATTGATGCCCACCCAGCCACCAGCTCATGCCCTTCAGCAGCGCCTGGCCCCATCCCTGGCCATGGTGTCCAACCAAGGGCATATGATAAGTGGGCAGCATGGAGGGCAGGCAGGCTTGGTGTCCCAGCAGAGTCCACAACCAGTGCTGGCACAGAAGCCCATGGGTACCATGCCACCTTCCATGTGCATGAAACCCCAACAGCTGGCGATGCAACAGCAGCTGGCGAACAGCTTCTTCCCAGATACAGGTAACCTCAGCTGGGAGCACTGGTTTAGTTACTCAGGGGTGGTCACTGTCACCAACAAATGGGCACTGAGACTACAGACATAAGGTAATTCATAGTTAAGGGAGGTGGGACATAAATCTTTGACTAAATACCATACTAGTAATGTTGGCAGAAGCACTGTAGCTTTTAAGAAGGGAGGAACAGTGCCTGGCATATAGCAGGCATTTTGATGTTTGAGTGAGCGAATGGGATGAATACATGAAGCCTGATTAGCAAAGGCTTTGTAGCTGTGGTGAGACCTAAGGATTAGGACTTGGAGAGAAGTGGTGCAAGAGAAAACACTCCAGATAGATAAAAAGACTTGAGAACAGGAACCATATTGGCAGGAGAGCCAATGGGGGATATTTGGAGAATGAGTGAGTGGTTAGGTTGGAGTAGACTTTGTGTAGAGCAGTGATGGCGAACCTATGACACGTGTGTCAGAGGTGACACGCGAACTCATTTTTTTGGTTGATTTTCTTGGTTAAATGGCATTTAAATATATAAAATAAATATCAAAAATATAAGTCTTTGTTTTACTATGGTTGCAAATATCAAAAAATTTCTATATGTGACACAGCACCGGAGTTAAGTTAGGGTTTTTCAAAATGCTGACACGCCCAGCTCAAAAGGTTCGCCATCACTGGTGTAGAGGGAGCGAGTGGGTACTACCATAAGACCTCAAATTGTAATAGCAGTTATTGAGTAATTACTATTTGCAATCTGTGTACTGAGTGCTGTACATTCATTATCTAATCGTCTCAACAAAGTCATTAAATAGGTATTATTATTATCTTTGATTATAGAAAAGGAAAATGAGGAATGGAGGTTAAGTAACTTGCCCAAGATCACACAACTAACAGAGCTAGAGTTTGAACCCTGGCCCTCTGATCCTCTTAACTGTGTTACTGCCTCAAAAGACCAGGGGAGGGATTTTGGTTAGTCCTTTAAAAAGTGCGGAGTCAGTTAAATTTACTGAGTGGTGGAGAAATATACAATGTGTATGATTTTAGAAAGATTAGATTTTTTTGGTGGTTGCTTTTCTTTTTTTATCCAGCATCCAGGACAGGCAGGTGAGTGGGATGTAGGTGGTCCATGTCAGGCCCACAATAGCTCTGGCATCTAGGGCTTTGCCAGATGGGTTCTTGGGCTGCACTAGTTGCTCTAAGAACACTACTTTTTTTAAAAAATATATATTTTTATTGATTTCAGAGAAGAAAGGAGAGAGAGATAGAGGCATCAATGATGAGAGAGAATCATTGATTGGCTGCCTCCTGCACGCCCCTCACTGGGGATTGAGCCTGCAACCTGGGCATGTGCCCTGGCCAGGAATTGAACTGTGATCTCCTGGTTCATAGGTCGATGCTCAATCAATCAGCTATACTGGCCGGGCAAGAACACTACTTTTGAAGAATGCTTTCTAGGTCGTAAAATGGACAGTTAACCCTTGAAGAACATGGGCTTAGGGGTGGTGACCCCCACATAGTTAAATCTGTGTATAACTTTAGATTCCCCAAAAAACTTAACCACTAATAGCTTGCTGTTGACTAGAAGCCTTATTGATAACATAATTAACACATATTTTGCATGTTTTATGTATTATATATTGTACTCTTACAATAGAGTAAGCTAGAGAAAAGAAAATGTTATTGAGAAAAAGAATAAGGAAGAGAAAATACATTTACAGTATTTAATGAAAAAAAACCCTGCATATAATCCGAGCCTGCAGTTCAAATCCATGTTGTTCAAGGGTCAACTGTGCTCATATTCTTGTCATATGTGGTCCTCTCAGTAGCCACATGAGATGGGCAGAATAGGGAGTCATGATCTCTACCAAATAGTGGAGTAAACTGAGGTTCAGAAAGGTGAAGTAACATTGATATATTGGTTTAACAAATATTTACTGAGTACCTTTTAGTAACACAAACAGGGCCACATGTTCTGTGAATAATAGAGCTGAGTCACCTAGGCTGCCTGGCTCCTAGTCCACTGGTCTTTTCATCATGCAATGCCATTGTTTTGCTTGGCTTGATAGAGGTTAAAGTGTTGGAAGTAATAGCAGACATAGAATGAAGCATTGACCCAAATGCCCAGCTCCCTTGGTTCTTCCCTCTCCAGACCTGGACAAATTTGCTGCAGAAGATATCATTGATCCCATTGCAAAGGCCAAGATGGTAGCTTTGAAAGGCATCAAGAAGGTGATGGCTCAGGGCAGCATTGGAGTAGCGCCTGGTATGAACAGGTAAGACTTGGGTGGCGGTTGGACCTTTTCTTTCCCAATCTTTCTCCTCTCCTTCCTGATCTCCTTCCTTACTTGTTTTTCCTCTTTGCCTTTCAAATGACCCCATTACTAACACATCTTCTGTGCTTTGGTGAACTCTAGGCAGCAAGTGTCCTTGCTAGCCCAGAGGCTCTCAGGGGGGACTGGCAGTGATCTGCAGAACCACGTAGCAGCTGGGAGTGGCCAGGTAAGTGATCAGGTGGGAGTAGGAATTTGTGTCCCATGCTGTTGGGCCACCCTTCTTAGGGGCTGGTATGGAAATATGACCCTTCAGCAGTGTCTCTCATTTCAGGAGAGGAATGCTGGTGACCCCTCCCAGGCTCGTCCCAATCCACCCACTTTTGCCCAGGGAGTGATCAGTGAGTATGGGGATGGGGAGGAGCCTAAAAGAAAATGGCTTGAGGCATTTGAAGGAAGAGGAATTGGGATCACCATTCTATTGGTCCTGACACCAGCTTTCTTTTCCAGATGAGGCTGACCAGCGGCAGTATGAAGAGTGGCTGTTCCATACCCAACAGCTCCTACAGATGCAGCTGAAGGTACTAGAGGAGCAGATTGGTGTGCACCGCAAATCCCGGAAGGCTCTGTGTGCCAAACAGCGTACTGCCAAAAAGGCTGGCCGGGAGTTCCCAGAGGCTGATGCTGAGAAGCTCAAGTTGGTTACAGAGCAGCAGAGCAAGATCCAGAAACAGCTGGATCAGGTGGGAAAAGCAGGCTTCAGCTTAGAAACCAGGAGCTGGGAAGAGGGTTGGCATGGTGGGCAGGCTCGAGGCTGACATCCCCGACCCTCCCATTAGGTCCGGAAGCAACAGAAGGAGCACACAAATCTCATGGCAGAATATCGGAATAAGCAGCAGCAGCAGCAGCAACAGCAGCAGCAACAGCAGCAGCAGCAGCAACAGCAGCAGCAACAACAACACTCAGCGGTGCTGGCCCTTAGCCCTTCCCAGAGTCCTCGGCTACTCACCAAGCTCCCTGGTCAGCTGCTCCCTGGCCATGCGCTACAGCCACCACAGGGGCCCCCTGGTGGGCAAGCTGCCGGACTTCGTCTGCCCCCAGGGGGCATGGCACTACCTGGACAGCCTGGTGGCCCCTTCCTCAACACAACCTTGGCCCAACAACAACAGCAGCAACATTCTGGCGGGGCTGGAGCCCTAGCTGGCCCCTCAGGGGGCTTTTTTCCTGGCAATCTTGCTCTTCGAGGCTTGGGACCTGAATCGAGGCTTTTGCAGGAAAGGCAGCTACAGCTACAGCAGCAACGTATGCAGCTTGCCCAGAAACTGCAACAGCAGCAGCAGCAGCACCTCCTAGGGCAGGTGGCAATCCAGCAGCAACAGCAACAGGGACCTGGGATACAGGCAAACCAGGCTCTGGGTCCCAAGCCCCAAGGGCTTCTGCCTTCCAGCAGCCATCAGGGCCTTTTGGTCCAGCAGCTGTCCCCTCAACCACCCCAGGGGCCCCAGGGCATGCTGGGCCCTGCCCAGGTGGCAGTGTTGCAGCAGCAGCAACCACACCCTGGAGCTTTGGGCCCTCAGGGTCCTCACAGACAGGTGCTTCTGACCCAGTCCCGGGTACCAAGTTCACCTCAGCTGGCACAGCAAAGTCAGGGCCTTATGGGACACCGACTGGTCACAGCCCAGCAGCAGCAGCAGCAGCAGCAGCAGCAGCAGCACCAACAGCAGGGACCCATGGCAGGGCTTTCTCATCTTCAGCAGGGTCTCATGCCACATAGTGGGCAGCCCAAGCTTAGCACTCAGCCAATGGCCTCCTTACAGCTACAGCAGCAGCAGCAACAGCAGCTACAACAGCAGCAGCAGCTACAACAGCAACAGCAGCTACAGCAGCAGCAGCTACAACAGCAGCAGCAGATTCAACAGCAGCAACAACAGCTACAACAGCAGCAGCTACAACAGCAACAGCTACAACAACAGCAGCAGCTTCAACAGCAGCAACAGCAGCTGCAACAGCAGCAACAGCTACAACAGCAGCAGCAGCTTCAACAGCAACAACAGCTACAACAGCAGCAGCAGCAGCAGCAACTACAACAGCAGCAGCTACAACAGCAACAGCAGCTTCAACAGCAGCAACAGCAGCAGATAGGCCTCTTAAACCAGAGTCGAACTTTACTGTCTCCTCAGCAACAGCAGCAGCAAGTGACTCTTGGTCCTGGAATGCCAGCCAAGCCTCTGCAACACTTTTCTAGCCCCGGAGCCTTGGGCCCAACCCTCCTCCTAACGGGCAAGGAACAAAGCATTGTAGAGACCACTCTTCCTCCAGAGGCCACTGAGGGGCCCTCCACACATCAGGGAGGTGTAGCAATAGGGACTGTACCTGAGGCAGTGCCCACTGAACCAGGGGAAGTAAAGCCCTCACTCTCTGGGGACTCACAACTCCTGCTTGTCCAACCCCAGGCCCAGCCTCAGCCCAACTCTGTGCCACTGCAGCCACCTCTGAGGCTCCAAGGACAGCAGCAGCAGCAGCAAGTTAACTTGCTCCACACAGCAGGTGTGGGCAGCCATGGGCAATCAAACAGTGGATCATCTTCAGAGGCCTCTTCCGTGCCACACCTGCTGACCCAATCTTCTGTTTCCTTAGGGGAGCAGCCTGGGCCCATAACTCAGAACCCTCTGGGCTCCCAACAGCACCATGGACTAGAGCGGCCCTTGCAAAATAATGCAGGGCCACAGCCTGCCAAACCAGGATCTGTCCCCCAGTCTGGGCAGGGCCTGCCCAGGGCTGGAGTCATGCCTACGGTGGGTCAGTTTCGAGCACAGCTCCAAGGAGTTTTGGCCAAAAACCCACAGTTGCGGCACTTGAGCCCTCAGCAGCAGCAGCAGCTGCAGGCACTCCTCATGCAGCGGCAGCTACAGCAGAGTCAGGCCATACGCCAGGCCCCATCCTATCAGGAGCCTGGGACCCAGCCCTCTCCCCTCCAGGGCCTCCTAGGCCGCCAGCCTCAAGTTGGGGGCTTCCCTGGATCCCAGACAGGGCCTCTCCAGGAGCTAGGGGCAGGGCTTCGACCTCAGGGCCCACCCCGGCTCCCTGCCCCACAAGGAGCCTTATCAACTGGACCAGTCCCTGGTCCTGTTCATCCCACACCTCCACCATCTAGCCCACAAGAGCCAAAGAGACCTTCACAATTACCGTCCCCTAGTTCCCAGCTCCCCTCTGAGGCCCAGCTCCCTCCCACACAGCCAGGGACCCCAAAACCCCAAGCGCTGCCCTTGGAGCTGCCTCCTGGGAAGATCTCACCTGCTGCTGCCCAGCTTGCAGATACCTTATTTGGCAAAGGGTTGGGACCTTGGGATCCTCCAGACAACCCAGCAGAAGCCCAGAAGCCGGAGCAGAGCAGCCTGGTACCTGGGCATCCAGAGCAGGTGAATGGGCAGGCGGTGCCCGAACCATCCTATCTCAGCATCAAGCAGGAGCCTCGGGAAGAGCCATGTGCCCTGGGAGCCCAGGTGGTGAAGAGGGAGGCCAATGGGGAGCCAATAGGGACACCAGGTACCAGCAACCACCTCCTGCTGGCAGGCCCCCGCTCAGAGGCCGGGCATCTGCTCTTGCAGAAGCTTCTACGTGCAAAGAATGTGCAACTCAGCACTGGGCGGGGGCCCGAGGGGCTGCGAACAGAGATCAACGGGCACATTGACAGCAAGTTGGCTGGGCTGGAGCAGAAACTACAGGGTACCCCCAGCAATAAGGAGGTGAGTATTCCAGGTAGAGTGGGGCCTGGAACGTGGGGCAGAGTGAGCAGGTCTTGGTGAAACAGAAGAGGTGAGGGCTCTGAGGAGGACAGCAGCCTTCACTGTGGGTTTATCCGGCTTAGGATACAGCAGCCAGGAAACCTTTGACACCGAAGCCCAAGAGGGTACAGAAGGCAAGCGACAGGTTGGTGAGCTCCCGAAAGAAGCTGCGGAAGGAGGACGGGGTCAGGGCCAGCGAGGCCTTGCTGAAACAGCTAAAACAGGTGACCCCCAGGAGCCAGTCCCCTGGTCCCAACTCAGGATAAGGGGGCACCCTGGCCCCCAGCTATGCAGTGGCAGAGATGTACGTGCTGCAGGTTTCCAACCTTGTCATCTTGCCCCTCCTAGGAGCTGTCCCTGCTGCCCCTAACGGAGCCTACCATCACCGCCAATTTTAGCCTCTTTGCTCCCTTTGGCAGTAGCTGCCCAATCAATGGGCAGTGCCAGCTGAGGGGGACCTTTGGAAGTGGGGCACTACCCACTGGCCCTGACTACTATTCCCAGCTGCTTACCAAGGTTAGAAAATGACAATACTTTTTGGGGATGATGAGGTTCTTGGGGAGGTGGAGGTGGGAGTGGGATACTTGAGGAAGTTGCTGATACAGTGTGGGGCCAGGAGATTATGTCAGTCTCCCCCTGCCATCTTGCACACAACACCCCACCCCACCCCCAGAATAACCTGAGTAACCCGCCGACACCACCCTCGTCGCTGCCCCCCACCCCACCCCCATCGGTGCAGCAGAAGATGGTGAATGGCGTCACTGCATCTGAAGAGCTGGGGGAGCACCCCAAGGATGCCGCCTCTGCCCGGGATACTGAAGGATCACTGAGGGGTAAGTCAAGAGTAGAGTGGGCCTCTCCTCTAGAAGGATTTGGTGGCTGGGGTCCAAGCCAGTTAGTGTACCCTGTCAAACAGTTTCACATAGATAGTTGCGTGTTTCACTGTGTGCACACACAACCAGTACCTGAGATAGAAAGGACCTCTTCAGGACTAATTGGTTGGAGACGAGGATGGGCACTGGGCGTCTAGAACAGTGATGGCGAACCTTTTGAGCTCGGCGTGTCAGCATTTTGAAAAACCCTAACTTAACTCTGGTGCCGTGTCACATATAAAAATTTTTTGATATTTGCAACCATAGTAAAACAAAGACTTATATTTTTGATATTAATTTTATATATTTAAATGCCATTTAACAAAGAAAAATCAACCAAAAAAATGAGTTTGCGTGTCACCTCTGACACGCGTGTCATAGGTTCGCCATCACTGGTCTAGAACCAAGACAGTGAGGGAAGTGGATGACAGAATGTTAATAAAACTTTTGTTTATAATGAACAGACAGTTTTGGTGGGTATAAACTATTGTGACAGCTGGTTGTGAATCCTGGTCCTGCGTTCTTTTAGCCGTGTTACTATAGCCCAGTAACTTGATTGACTTGTGTGAGCCTGAGTTTCCTCACTATAAAATAGATATTATAATACTTAATGGAGTGTTAAAATATTATAAATAAAGAATGCACATAAAGCTCAGGACTTGACACATTGGAAATGCTCAAAATATAGTTTGTCTGCTCCAAACTGGTAGATGGGTAGACAGTGGTTATGATAGCTAAGCTAGATGTTGTACTAGTTAGGCCTGAAATGTGGTGGAGAAAGCACCATCAGCTCTGTCCACCCTAGGCCTGACTTTTCTTTTCCCTACCTACCCCTCAGATGCTTCAGAGGTGAAGAGTCTAGACCTGCTGGCTGCCTTGCCTACACCCCCTCACAATCAGACTGAGGATGTCAGGTGGGGATTGTGCTGGAAATGGGGGTGAGGAATGGGATTAGGGATCTGGTTGTCTCATTTTCCCTTTGACCAATAGTAGATTTTAAGTAAGGCTGTGATATCTACTAATCTCTAGATTTGGGAGTGGGGGTCTGCAGAGCTGTAGCAACAAATGTCTACTTTTGGCCTACAGGATGGAGAGTGATGAGGACAGCGATTCTCCTGACAGCATTGTGCCGGCTTCATCCCCCGAGAGCATCCTGGGGGAGGAGGCACCTCGTTTCCCTCAGCTGGGCTCAGGGCAGTGGGAGCAGGAAGACCGGGCTCTCTCCCCTGTAATCCCCATCATTCCTCGGGCCAGCATTCCAGGTAGGGGCTGCCCTGAACATAGGCCAGGCCAGGCCAGGCTGGGGTGTTGGAGCTGGGGCAGAGGGGCAGCTGAGGCTAACACAGATCCTTCTTTCTCATTTAGTCTTCCCAGATACCAAACCTTATGGGGCTCTAGACCTGGAGGCCCCTGGAAAGCTGCCTGCCACAACTTGGGAAAAGGGCAAAGGAAGTGAGGTGTCAGTCATGCTAACGGTCTCTGCTGCTGCAGCCAAGGTGTGTCCTGGAGGGTGCCACAGAGGCCTAAGGGGTGCTAATCAGAGGGCAGTCCCTGAAACTTGTCTGGATAAATTTGGTCCTTTAAAGCTATGTACTGAGGATCTACCATGTGAAAGCCTAGGCTAGTGGCTGTAGGATTAGAGTAAATGAAACATGAGGGGTCCCTGCCTTCAGGGAGTTCACAGTCCTGTGGTAAAGACACACTCAGCAAATAAAGAAAGTGTGTATAATGCGACATATGATACAAGACAGCACCCCATTATATTTGGTGAAACTGTTTTTTGTTTTTTAATGTTAACAGGAAATGGGCAGTCCCAGTTAAAACAACCAAGCAGGAGTCCTTACTACAAGACTCCTCAGCTTCTCTAATTTGCTAATTATCATGAATCTCCCAAGTTATGGATATAATGTGTATAGTTTCCTAAACTTAGTTGACACAGGCCCCTTTTGTGGAGCTCCTGCTAATGCCCACAGCAGTTTGGGAAAGGCCACCATAAAACAAGTACATGGGAACAGTTGGATGGCACAGGGGCTGGACTTACTGGCCGCCTGTGGAGCTGTGTTCTAAGTGTCCTTGTCCCCACAAAGCTGGTGGTAGTGCTCACTGTACACAACCTGCTGACAAGGCTCTCCCCTCCCTTCCCTGCTCTGGCAGAATCTGAATGGTGTGATGGTGGCAGTGGCAGAGCTGCTAAGCATGAAGATCCCCAACTCCTATGAGGTGCTGTTCCCAGAGAGCCCTGCCCGGGCAGGCATTGAGCCTAAGAAGGGGGACGCTGAGGGCCCTGGTGAGTGTGGCAGGAAAACACCTGGGGACCTCAGGGGAATGATTCTGGTGGGAGGCTCTGACCCCCTCCTTCCTGCAGGTGGGAAAGAAAAGAGTCTGGGAGGCAAGAGCCCAGAAGCTGGCCCTGACTGGCTAAAGCAATTTGATGCCATGTTGCCTGGCTATACTCTCAAGAGCCAGCTAGACATCTTGAGCCTCCTGAAACAGGTGGGTCTGGGTAAGAAAAAGGGGTGTCTCTGGCTGGGGCAGAGATAGCAGAGAGGGCTTTTGGGAGAGTGGGATCTGGGTGGGAAAAGGGAGGGGGCTAGTTAAGTGAGGAGCTGGCACTAACCATACAGGGTTCGTGCCCCCTCCCATAGGAGAGCCCTATCCCAGAGCCACCCACCCAACACAGCTACACCTACAATGTCTCCAATCTGGACGTTCGACAGCTCTCCGCCCCACCTCCTGAAGAACCCTCCCCACCCCCATCCCCCTTGGCACCCTCTCCTCCCAGCCCCCCTGCTGAACCGTGTTGCCTGGCTATACTCTCAAGAGCCAGCTAGACATCTTGAGCCTCCTGAAACAGGTGGGTCTGGGTAAGAAAAAGGGGTGTCTCTGGCTGGGGCAGAGATAGCAGAGAGGGCTTTTGGGAGAGTGGGATCTGGGTGGGAAAAGGGAGGGGGCTAGTTAAGTGAGGAGCTGGCACTAACCATACAGGGTTCGTGCCCCCTCCCATAGGAGAGCCCTATCCCAGAGCCACCCACCCAACACAGCTACACCTACAATGTCTCCAATCTGGACGTTCGACAGCTCTCCGCCCCACCTCCTGAAGAACCCTCCCCACCCCCATCCCCCCCCTTGGCATCTCCTGCCAGCCCCCCTGCTGAACCGCTGGTCGAGCTCCCAGCTGAACCCTCAATTGAGCCACCTGTCCCCTCGCCTCTGCCCCTGGCCCCCTCCCCTGAATCCACCCGGCCCAAGCCCCGAGCCCGGCCCTCTGAAGAAGGTGAAGATTGTCGGTCCCCTCGGCTCAAGAAGTGGAAAGGGGTGCGCTGGAAGCGTCTGCGGCTGCTCCTGACCATCCAGAAGGGCAGTGGGCAGCAGGAGGATGAGCGGGAAGTGGCAGAGTTTATGGAACAACTTGGCACAGCCCTGCGACCTGACAAGGTGCCTCGAGACATGCGGCGCTGCTGCTTCTGTCATGAGGAGGGTGATGGGGCCACTGATGGGCCTGCCCGTTTGCTGAACCTGGACCTGGACCTGTGGGTGCACCTCAACTGTGCCCTGTGGTCCACGGAGGTCTATGAGACCCAGGGTGGGGCACTGATGAATGTGGAAGTGGCCCTCCACCGAGGACTGCTAACCAAGTGCTCCTTGTGCCAGCGCACCGGTGCCACCAGCAGCTGCAATCGCATGCGTTGTCCCAACGTCTACCATTTTGCCTGCGCCATCCGCGCCAAGTGCATGTTCTTTAAGGACAAGACCATGCTGTGTCCAATGCATAAGATCAAAGGGCCTTGTGAGCAAGAGCTGAGTTCTTTTGCTGTCTTCCGACGGGTCTACATTGAGCGGGATGAGGTGAAGCAAATCGCTAGCATCATCCAGCGGGGAGAGCGGCTGCACATGTTCCGGGTAGGGGGCCTTGTGTTCCATGCCATTGGACAGCTGCTCCCTCATCAGATGGCCGACTTCCACAGTGCCACTGCCCTTTATCCCGTTGGCTACGAAGCCACACGCATCTACTGGAGCCTTCGCACCAACAACCGCCGCTGCTGCTACCGCTGCTCTATTGGTGAGAACAACGGTCGGCCGGAGTTCATAATCAAAGTCATGGAGCAGGGCCTGGAGGACCTGGTCTTCACTGATGCCTCTCCCCAGGGTGAGCACTGGGCCCTGGAAATGGTAATGTGGAGTTGGGCAAGTTTCTCCTGGAATCATCTTTACAATGTGGAAAAGGGATCTGCAGGGTCCTTGTGAGTGATCTTCTGCCCTCTACACCCTCTATTGCACGTAGGTGGAGGTCTCTTGAAAATCCCCAGAGAAAGTGTTTTAGCGTCTCTTACTCACCTTAAATTCCCTTGTAATTGAAGATGTTTTGCTTGTCTAACTTCATTCTGGCTCCTTTTCCTATCCTCAGTGGAACAAAAGAATACAGTTCTGAGACCTTACCATCTGGCTCACCCAACCTGATCCTAACCATGAAGTTCCCTTTGGTTGCTTTTCTCTGGACAAAATTCTTTTGATCTTAGTTTTAGTGTTAATTATAAAAATAACAATAAGAGCAGTTACCTTTTAGTGAGCATGTACTATGTGCCACAAACTAAGCTAAGTGATTTATATAGGTTATTTTGTTCACACAACCCTCTGAGGTAAGTACTATTATTCCCAGGTTTTTAAGAAACAATCTTAGATTTAAGTATTTGGTTTAAGGTCCAATGGCTAGTACTAAAACCTGAACTCATCTTCCCAGTGCCAAAGCATGCCTGTTGTTCTGACTCAGCAAGTCCTGTGACCTGTGCTGGGTCTCCTGGGCCTTGGATTCATGTTTCTGTGTCACAAGGCACTCTAATGCCCCTCTGGAGTGGGAAGTGTGGCTTGTTGAAGGAGAGTGGGACTGGGAGGCCATGAGGGGGTCCTGAAGAACCACACAGCCTCGTGACAGGGAGGTAGCTGCAGATCAAGGTTAGGGTCGGATTCACTGAGCAGAAGTTCCCTCTGAGGAACTTCACCAGATGGTGAGGGTTGCTCTCTTTCCTTGCCTCTTAGCTGTGTGGAATCGCATCATAGAGCCTGTGGCTGCCATGAGAAAAGAGGCCGACATGCTGAGGCTCTTCCCTGAGTACCTGAAAGGCGAGGAACTCTTTGGGCTGACGGTGCACGCTGTGCTGCGCATAGCTGAATCAGTAAGAAGGGGCCGGGAGCCGGGGTGAGGGGGGCACTGAGAACTTTGGTCCTGCCCCAAAAGTGCTCAGGCTAAGGTGAGCATGACCTGTGCCCACAGCTGCCTGGAGTGGAGAGCTGTCAAAACTATTTATTCCGCTATGGACGCCACCCCCTAATGGAGCTACCACTCATGATCAACCCCACTGGTTGTGCCCGATCAGAGCCTAAAATCCTCACACACTACAAACGGTGAGCTTGTGGGGCTGGGGCCAAGGGATATGGGTGTACGAGTTGGTAGGGACCCTCTGGCCAATTGAGGGTTTGGGGTTACAGGTTACAGTTCCCCTTGGAGAGATTGGGGGGTTCACTCTAGGCCTCCTGGTTAGAGGGTGTGCAGTTATCACTACGGTATCCCTTTCCGCCTCCCCCCAACCTGCTCAGGTGTCCTGGGTTGATCTGGGGTCTAGGACAGACTTATCTTGGGCATCCTGGGAATGAATGGCTGTTGGGGAGGTTCTGGGTAGACAGTGGTAAAATTTTATGAACTGTATAAGGGGCCCAGTCATCTCCTTCTTCTCCTATTTTGCTCCCAGGGGGCCTGTGATTCTCCCAAACCTCAGATGCCCCATGAGTGCTAGGGTCACCTTCCCTTCCCCAGGCTGAGTTGGTTTCAAAAGTAAATAATTAGAAATATAATAGAAAAATAATAAAACCTTAAATTTGTATAGCACTTTATACTTTTTTTTTCAAAGCGTTTTCACATCCATTATCTCATTTGATCCTCACAACAACCTTATGAGGTAGGTAGGGCAGGTGGTATGACCCCCATTTCACAGCTGAGAAAACTGAGACCCAGAAAGGTTAAGTGACTAGACAGAGGTCACAGCTGGGACCAGAACATTACATGTTGACTTGTGGTTTCCTGTTCCTTCTGTGTTCCTCAGTAGCCTGACCTTGGTCACTGGGTAGAGGGAGGCAGAATTCACGGTAGCAGGGCTTTTGTGAAGGCCTTCGGTTACTCCTCAGGCTGTCGTAGAGTGTCCGACTCTACCCCAGTCAGCCCTCGTCCTTGATGCCCTATAACAGTGGTTTTCAAACTGTGTGTGTTCCAAAAAGTTTTGGAACACACAAACTGAGTGGGCAGAACTTGGCCCTCCCCGTGTATAACTCCCCCTTCCTCAAATTCAACCAGAAGAATTTCATTTTCATCTAGTTTATGTATTGGAGTTCCAATAACATTTTGTTAAATAAAAAAAAAAGATTTCTGCTAAAGAAAGAAGAGTAAAAAATGTTTGAAAACCACTGCTCTGGGATGGGGAAGAATTTGGCTGGTGCCCTAGGGTGGTGAAAAGGATCCTGTCAGGCAGCAGTCATTCCCCTGCACTGAGCCATCTGCACAGAGCCCAATGTTACGTTAGAAAAGGGGACAGTCTGAAGAAAGGATGCCACCTTTTGGCTATGAATTCAGAGCTAGTTTTAATTCAAATCCAGTCCAATGTGGTAGACACAGCCCCCATTTTCAGGGCTTCCAGTATGTGCAGGAGGTAGGACTCAGACGTTTGAGCAAATCATGAACTTAAATTACAGGCCTGGGCTGCTTGGGGAATTCCTCCCAGAAGAGCACGGCCTTAAGCACAGTTTGGCAGGAGGGTGGTAGAAGACAAGGAGATGGGAGAGTGGGCTCAGTGTAGGGGAATTGGTGCCTCCCTTCACTCCATTCCTCACCCCCCATCTCTGTGCCACCCAGGGTGTTGGAAGGGTCCCCATAGCTAGTTAATTACCTCATCAAAACCAAGACCCACTTGCCTCCACTCTATTCCCAAGGCAGCACATGCCCCTAACTGGCATGTTGCACATCCCAGGGAGGAGGCAGGTGGTGTGTGCTTGGTCTGAGGAAGAGCTGTCTTGTCATGCACTGTATCACCTCCCAGGCCCCACACCCTGAACAGCACCAGCATGTCCAAGGCATATCAGAGCACCTTCACAGGCGAGACTAACACCCCGTACAGCAAGCAGTTTGTGCACTCCAAGTCATCTCAATATCGGCGGCTGCGCACTGAGTGGAAGAACAATGTGTATCTGGCTCGCTCCCGCATCCAGGGCCTGGGGCTTTATGCAGCCAAGGACCTAGAAAAGCACACAATGGTCATTGAGTACATTGGCACCATCATTCGCAACGAGGTGGCCAACCGGCGGGAGAAAATCTATGAGGAGCAGGTATGGGCTGACAGAGGGGCCATCGTGGTGCATGGTCCACACTCAGCCAAGGAACAAGGAGCAGTGTGGGGTCAGGTGGAAAGCTGTGGGAGGAGGAGGTGAGAGGTGGGAGAAAGGAAAAAGAAGAAACGAAGCCCACTGCCTGAGCTTGCTACCTGATCCCACCACCACACCGTGGCCATTCTCTGATACTCTTGCCCCTTCTGCAACTTTTGCCTTTCTAGAATCGAGGCATCTACATGTTCCGGATAAACAATGAACATGTGATTGATGCTACGTTGACCGGAGGCCCTGCCAGGTGAGAGGAATTAGGAAGGAGGGATTTAGGGGTCTCTGAGGGTGATACACTGGGGGTGGGCCAACAAGGAACCAAAATCATCCCAAGTTCATCATGTGGCATCCCTGACTCTGTCCCACTGCCTAGGTACATTAACCATTCCTGTGCCCCTAACTGTGTGGCAGAAGTTGTGACATTTGACAAAGAGGATAAAATCATCATCATCTCCAGCCGGCGAATCCCCAAAGGAGAGGAGGTAAGAGGAAGCATCATGAGTGAGTGACAAAGTAGCTTTCTCTTCTCTGTTATTCCCCAGAGCCAAGTTCCAAGGCCACTGCCCTCAGATCAGATCACCTCTGCCCTCCCCAGTTCCTCTGGGGGGCTGGTACTGATTCTGCCCTCTTTTCTTAACAGCTGACCTATGACTATCAGTTTGACTTTGAGGACGATCAGCACAAGATCCCCTGCCACTGTGGAGCCTGGAATTGTCGGAAATGGATGAATTAAAAAGCTTTGAGGCTACCAGGCAGGGGAGTCCCTCCACCCCCAACCTCTTCCCTGAAAGGGATGAGAGGGAAGAGAGGTAGCGGCCAGAGCCAGGACCCAGGGCTGGGGCTGCCGGCTGACCGGAGCCCCTGGAGCAGGAGGCTGGGGCAGAGGGCCCTAGGCCAAGCCCACCCTGGGCACCAGGGATAACCCTCTTCCCTGCCATCGGCCCCCAGGCTGGCATCTCTGCCCCCAGCTCCAGGAGGAGCCAGACAGAAGCAGCCATTGGGCATCTCAGGTTTGAGGGGGATATGGGCCGGGAACTACCCAGAAGCATCTGGGAGGCAGCAGGGAGGGGGGAGGACGATGTGTGGCCGGGCCTCACAGCCCTGCTGCTCCCACTGACCTCTCCGGCCCAACTCAAGGCTGCAAAGAGACTTGACTAAGCTTGACAATCCCAAAGGCCGGGTCTCACACCTGGCCCTGCCTGCCGGG